TCCGACTACTTGCACGCTCTCGATATTGAAATATCGAGACGTACGATAGCTCGACCAGGAATTATGCGATCGCCGGCTGAAATTCGCGCGATCGGCAGGAAAGCCTCTCGGGACTTCTTTGCCGGGACGCGAATATATTTATATTTTGTATCGCGCATTATATGTAACTCGCCTCTCTTCTCTTCTCTTCTCTTCTCTTCTCTTCCCTTTTCTTCTCTTCTCCCCGCGGTCGCTTTCCCCGCGGTCGTCATTAAACCGACCCGCTCGAGACAACTGGCGCTGATTATTTAGCAATACAAATCATTCGTTGAGTGCGAGTGCGTCCCGCGTATCGTTCCTCTCTCTCCTCGTCTTTCTCGTTCTGTCGAACGAGTTCTCGCGTGCGCAGGCGTGGTACTGCACGTACTACTTATGCGAAAGGCGAATAAAACACGTACACGTACACATACACAGGCGCGTATATACGCGGCTCTCTCGTGCGGCTGCATGTGCATCAGATACCAGTCGGTAGAAACAGTTTTGTTGATTAGCAAGCTCGTTTGAACCGGCCGTATTACTTTGTCGCATCGCCGAGGAATGTTTCTCACCAGCGAGGTATAAGTATCCCACGTCGTTAAAACGTTGACGTATCGTGCGAATGCGTCAGATGTTTTAAAAGATAACTAATAGAATGTACAAGTGAATTCTTAGTAAATTTTAATCCGCATTAAATCCGTCCTTTCCGTGTTTGTGTTCATTGGCAAGTTTTCTAATCGATTTTTCAACTGAATCGTTCAAAAATATCTCGCATCGTCCGATAAAGGAGCGAATGAGAAAACTGCTAAAAGAACCGCGACATTTTCTCTTCGCGCGTATATAAATCCCCCGTCCGTATCTGCTCGTATCTCTCGCGCTCGGTCGTCGCGGGATAAAATATTTTCGAGAGAGAGAGCTACCGATACATCGCTCCGAAATTCCTCGTGGCTGCCGCGCGCAATTAATAAATATCGTCTGGTACAATTTACGATCCGCGCTGTGTCGTTAATCATGCGCGCGCGCGCGCGAATCGCCGATGCCGCCTATTCCGGACCGGGCAGGTTGGGAATCGATAACAGAGATGCATTAGAATATTATGACCTTTCAAAGTGCATTCGGTGATTCACCGCGGGAGCCGCGATAGCGCGTTATCGCGGCGACTACTCGCCGCGCGGGTCGATGTTATCGCGCCGCTATACTCCTGGCTAATCGAGACAAGCGAGAAAGGGAGAAAAGGAAGAGGCAGGGTGCTGACCTCGCTTCCTGAATCGTTCAGGGCGGTGGCATCTCTCCGAGGAGGCTCGGCGAACGCGGAAAGCGCTGCGCACGGCACGTCGCGATTGTGCCGGTGTTCGTGTGCAATCAAATCAACCAGATAATCTTTGATTTCAGCCGACGAACGCTCGTTAAGTCGTGTGCCTCGTAGTCGTGTGCGAATACGTGTGTGATATACAACAGTAAAGAGTAAACCCTCTCTTTATTTGTTGTATATCATTTCGCACACGACTACGATGCACGACGAACACGGTTCTACATTTTCCATACGTAAATTTCACATATTACCTCTGCTTTTTATTATTTAATTAAAAATCTCTCTAATTTGCTCTAATTTCTCTCTCGGGGCTCTGTTCATTCCAACCTCAATTAAATAGCGATATACAAATCCTAACATTTTATCATTAATTTTCAATCTGTATCAGATTAAAATTTTAACAAACGTTAATCTTAATTGGTTCGTCTTAATTTATCTTCCGATCAAAGATACACATTACTCGATTTTTTGCAAAGTTGTGAAACGAAAGGAAGCCATATGTTATATCAAAATAATTGAAATTTACGTCGGCCATAGATTTCAGTACAGCTCCATTTATGTCTCAAGTCCTAGGAAATCGCGTCTCTAATTATAATCTCTCTACGCACCGCAAATGCATCCAGCGCGAAAGAGCGTTAATCTTAATAACAGAGGAAATCTCGGCGTGCGTAATTTTCACGTTATTACATTTTTAGCGTCGCGTGTCTCATTCATTCCTCTTCACCTTTTTCTCCTCGTTCTCCTCTTACGAAGAAAACGCCTCTCAAAGTACGAACGAGAAAGGTACGTATATAGCGAATAGGTCAAAGCGGCTGCCGCTGGCGTTGGATCGTGATTTAAGGTAATCGCGGTACGGATCGGCGGATACCGCAACCGGATGCTATCGTGTCGCCTCTGCGTGTCGCATCTGCGGTCGACTCGGCGTGCGTCCGGCAAAAATCCGACGCGCCTCGATGTCGTTATCCCAAACGAGATAACCCCGCCCGATGAGTTTCCATCGGGCCTACTAAGGGGGGCGAATGCTTCCATCGGTAGGCGAAGTATGCGGCCTTACGCCGCGCGCGTAAGCGCACTCGCGAGCGCGTGCACTCGCGGAGAGCCGCATTATCGCGGGATTACGTAAGCGCCGAGCCGCGGCATACGATCGCGCTTGTATTACGCTGTAATTAGGACCGGGCCGGCCGTCGTAACCGCGCACATATACGCGCGCGCGCGTATATGTGCGCGGTATTAATAACCGACGATAAACGTTAACGTGCACCGCCGTCCGAGTCTCTCCCAGGAGTCCCAGGAGAGGAGGAGCGTAACTGCCGCGCGCGCGCGCGCGAGCACGGATGCCGCTGCCGAGAAGCACGGGCCTCGATAGCGCGGGATTAGAGAGTGCTTTTTGAGAGAAGAGGTCACACCGAACACGCATTATTTCCGCTTGCGTTATCAAAACACGACCCGGTCTCCCACGATGAGTCGAATGCACGCTCGTCGGAATATTTGTAATTCTGCACGGAGTTCGTGGCTTTTACCGCTGCTACATCGGATAGTGACTCTAAAGCGACTGGCGCGATTCGGGTATTAAGGCGAGCAGCCGATAATTTGCTGCAGGTTGCGGCACTTTTTTTTTTCTAAATGTCCGCGTAATCGTCCGACATTAAGGAAAGCAAACTAGTTTTGCGCGTTTGCACCGAACGGACGTTTGACCGGCACACGACTTACTTATCTGTAGCCTCGATCTTGCGTGCGAGCTAAAAAATCGTGGAAAAGTACACACTACACGTGCGAGAGATACCGCATTGTGTATCCATGCTCGAATATACGAATTGTATATAGGTATAACATCGGGCTTTGCTAATCAATATCTTGAATGAAAGATAATAACTTTTCTAAAAGAGACAGCTCGCCTTACGGTAATAATAATACGCGCATTGATTAATTAACCTAAAATGTATTAATTATACATTAAAATATTTATATTATAAAAAATTATAAAAAGTTCTTTTTATTTTTTTCTTTAATGAACATGATCGAGATAAGAGAATCTCGCATTAAAAACAGCGATCGCTCTATACCTATCTCTATACCTCGTAATCAATCCCTAATTAAGTGCCGCTAAATGAACACGATTACTAAATTAGCGCCCACTTGCCCGCGCAATCACGAATAAACGCGGCCTCGCGAACGAAAATCAAGATCTCGCTGTGCTCGTTCCCGACGTGCGCTTGATTAATACCCAGATGTAATTACGCGCCGCTTCGGGGGAAGGACGGATGCGAGAGAAGAGGGTAACCTTCTCCTCATTGTGCGTGCCTCTCTCGCCAAACAACCGTGTGGGAGGAAGGTGAGAACAGAGATGAAGCACATCTTAGGAAAGACGAGGAGAAAGAACAAAGCAAAAAGATGAGAAGAAAAGATGAGGAGAAAGCTAAAGAGAGAAAGAGAGAGAGAGAGAGAGAGAGAGAGAGAGAGAGAGAGAGAAGAAGAGAGAGAGAGAGCGGAGAGCTTCGTCGAGCTGCCGACGGAACGAAATCCTGACAGATTTCATCGTGGGCTGACGTAAACAATTTGCGAATGTAAATACCTGTTGAATATTGAGCGTGCTGGCAGGGCCCACGGGGCCCCACGCCGGGCCCCCAACACCTTGCGATCGTTTACCCTTTAAACTCGTGATTACCATCCAGCGCCGTCTCCCACCTACCGCGGCGAGGCGTGTAAGTCATCGGCATAAATTATACGTGAACATCGCGCGGCGATGCTAGGGATCCTCCTCGCTACTTCGTCGAGGAGGAGATATCCTTCGATTTTATCCGGCTGAATCCGCGCGCGCGCACGCGCGCGCGCGAAGGGTCGCGAAATGGAAAACGAATCGGGACGCGCTTGACACGCGCGGAGGATCCCTCCGTCTGAAAAAGAAGTCTGAATTTCATATTTCGTTGTCGAGTTAAAACGAGCTGATTTCCTTTGCTATGCGTGACATGAATATCAGCAGACAGTTAAGTGAATTAAACTCTAATGCAGATTTAATTCAGTAATGAGAAGGATAAGAGAACGATGTATCATGGTAAATTACAGAGTTTCGATCTCTCTCGCGGTGTTATCGCCTATCCAATTAACATTTGTACGTTGATATCGAAGGTGTGCACTTTAGATCGTTTATCGCATCGCGGATTTAGGGCAATAAAGCTCGGTGGCGCGTGTAACATCCCGTCCGATTATTAATAAGTTCGTAGGGTTCGCAACGCTTATCAACCTATCAACCATGATTGAATCACCAGGATGATTTCGTATCGTGGCTCCGGAACGTGGAGGTAGCGGCGTAAGAACGCGTGTCGAGATAATTGGTGATCTCTCGCGATCGATCTCGATCCCGATAAGTGGCAACCGACATTTCAGATAACTTTCTCGCTTCCACCGAGATTATTTAATTACACCGTCGTCGATTATAACGGGAACCACGCCGCGTATCGCTAACGGTTCGTGATAAACGCTTATCCGAAGCGAATACGCCGCGCGATGCACGCTCGCGCATTTTCCACGCGCGGAAGTTTTCCGCGCGATCATTCCCGCGCGTTCGCCGGCCCAATCCCAGCACTGTGTCAAGGGAAACATCTCGACGCGCCGTAAAACTGGATCCGTCCGTTGCGCGGGATTGCAGTTATGTGAAAAACAAAAGTTCACTCACCATCCTGGTTCATTCCGTGGCCGCCATCATCTGTCGGAAAACAGAAAGAGAGAATTAAGACGAGCAAATTGAAATCTGGAAAGATGCGTTACCGAGATTACCGCCGAATCACACTTACATGTACACACTTAAACGAACGGCGACGCAAAGGACAAAAAAGAAAACGATATTCACCGTCTGTTCGTTTATTCCGAGTATCCGATCGTGAGGTGTTAATTGAAACGTTACAACTTGTAATCACGCGTCGCGCTGTCCTCAAATTGTAATCGGTATCCTCGGCGAAGTGGCTATTTCTAGAGCCAGCAGAAGTAATAAAATATTCTAATGCAAAGTAAGGAGACGCTAATGGCGTTTCCAGATGTTATTTGAAAACATAA